TGAACATCAGCACAAACATGAACATGAGTCTGTGCGAGCGGATGTGCACGCATGAACACCTCAACATTGAAACAGATCAGCAGCAACACGATGTGGTTTTTCACAGTGACTATTCTAGTTAGAGATTCATGCGTCTAACAACCTCAGGGTAGAAGCTGCTCCTCAGTCCAGTGGTTCTACACTTAATGCTCCTCAACCCCCTTCCTGAGGGGAGTGGGGCAAAAAGTGTGCGTGCTGGGTGAGTGGGGTACCTCATGATGCAGGTGGCCCTATGTGTGACATATAACAACAATAAAACCATTCTATTCTATTCCTAACAACTCTTGTGTTAAAGGCTAACTGTTGATGACAGATGTCATGGGGTTCTGTAACACTTGGTGCACAATAAACATTATTGTATACATTAAACAAGGAGCAGCTGATTAACATCTCAAAGCTCAAAAGCTCAACTACAACACCAAATCCCAAACGAGTTGAAAAGGAGGTGCCGTGGATGAATTCCCATCAACCTGGCAGTGGTGTTCAAGTACCTGACCTCCAAGATCCTGGAGCTGGTGGGAAACTCTGCTCGTGACAATGGGAGGACCGGGATCATCCCCCGTACCTTCAGCTGTCTGTGACAACGAGGAGCTCGACAGACTGCTGGGAGGAGTGACCATCGCTCAGGGAGGAATTCTCTCAGTCCTGCTGCCCAGGAGGACCAAGAGGCCCGCCGGATCTGACATCAAGCTGGATCCGAATGGACGGATCGGTATTTGTGGCCAGATTCTTCGGCTTCGCTGCAGGAGATCCTTCCTGCCCACAGCTATCAGGATCTATAACAACTTTTGAATGAAACCAGGATGATGGGCTACAACAGTTCTTAATTTCCCTTTGGGATTAATGAAGTATTTTTGAACTGAATAGAATTGAAAACATACATTCCTGTTTGTGTGGTCTGTCTTCAACACACCTTTATGGTGTGTGTTGTTGCCCTCTCAATGGTTCCAGCAACATCAAGTAACCGCAATATTTGTACACCACACATGTTGCAGTTGCACAATATAACCACCCGACCTCCTACAAAACCACGATGTGACCCCTCAAACTTTGCCAAGTTCTGGTAAGGCTGTGTAATGCATCCACAAGGCATCATACGTGTCTGGTGGCTTCTACCCACTTTTTGATTGACTGTCAGCTGTTCCAGCAATTGCTTAATACTAAGTGCTATTTGATATCCGTCTTGGACGCCTCGTTACAAATCGAATCATTTACGTACCGGTCTGCATGATGCGTTCAAATCGGACCGTTCCTTCTCGTCAATGGGTGTAGTTATTGTGAGACATTTGGACAGCCGTTCTTGGAAGACAAAGAACGACTTCCCATAAAAGAGACATGCTTAAAATAATCAGCTATGATGTGAACCAGATATCAAAGCAACCGCACTAACCACAACAAGTGGGTAAAGGTGTACCGAACAGAAAAAGCATACAACGTTCCAGAACAAGTGAAAGATAATCTTTTTTGTTGTTCGACATGTAAAAGTGATAACGACACACTTTCCATTTGAAAAACTTGAGTTTCTTGACAGTGTCGCGTGTGTGCGTGATGGTTCTGTTGTAGGTGTGTCTGGTGTGGGTCAGTCAGCACCTTTAGGTGAGAGGATGTGTTTGTGTGCGACAGGCAGGGCGGCACGCCACTTCAAAGAACCGTGAACTGTATGTTGCCGCCTCAGCTGAGAAGTCTCCTTCCTCCATACCCCACACCCCCACCCCCCACACGTTTTAAAGGCAGTACGCGACTTTGACATACTGCTGACACTTTTCATACAAAAAAATAATTTACTTCTTGTTTGCTATTTGTGAGGGAAATTTTTACACCTTGTATTTTTCCTTTGATGGCAAAAGCTAATGTTGAGTTTAATTTTGAGAAAAAAACACTTTTATTTAAGTTTCTTGCTCCAAACCTCCATTCTAGACGGCGCCAACCACATGGGGCCTCTACTGATGCTGTAACAATCAGACTGGGTGGGTGTCCTGTGGTTTACTATAGATCAGGGTAGAACATCCACTATTGGGACTCCCCTGCAGCCCCTTTCTCCCCCTTCCTCTCTGACAGAGATGACTATGGGTTTCGTCCCACTCAGAGCTGGAAGCTCAGAACCTACAGCTGGCCCTTACCTGAAGAGAAACAACCCTGAGCGCTGGCGGGAAACTTGCTCTAAACACCCCAGTGTTGGCAAATGTGTGTTGACTCAATGTCACTGTGCTGTTTTTGCTACGTAAACGCGTATATTCCAAGAGTCACTCGTGCTAGACGGGATGATAGTCTGTCACGGGTTGATGTGCACCCCGTGTCAAAGCTGCAAATCCCAAACCAACACAACAATCTGAGTCACTGATGGAAACGTGAACAGCCTGAAATCAAGTATTCACCAGTTGTTCAACCATCTTTAACCAGATTACATTTTAAGGGTTTTAGGTCAAGGTTTTCTTTGTTGTCATTCGCATCTCTCGTGGTGCATGTGGTGGAACAAAATGGTGTACACGGGGTCCCAGTTACATCCAAAAAAATATAAATTGTAAAAGAAAAACAGTAATAAGATCCAAGATATGAACTAAGAAAAACAACTTTTTTTGACCATGTCAGTAGTTTTCAAACTGGGGTCCCCGGGGGTCAGCGAGACGGTGCTTGGGGGTCTGCAAATATATTTACAAGCATGTAAATGTTTAACAACCCGTTAAAATACAGCAAAATGCAGGAACTCACGTCTACTTTATTCAAAATTTTCTGGTGGAGGACCCCCAGACCCCCCCACCCCGTTATGTGTTCCAGCATCGATCGGTTTATAAATGAAGCAGTTACGTGGTACAATACTGCCGTTATGATTCTGTTCAGTTTTACGTAAAGAAGTTTTCTGTAATCATTTGAAGAAGTGACAAAACATTTATGTTCATTGTGTGAAAAGGTAAAAATGTAAAGTGGTTTTTGATGCTGTTAATTTTCTCCAATGTTTGGATGTTGAAATTAAAAATTTCAAGTTAGTCTTGAATTAAAAATACCCCATGTTTAATAAAAGTATACAAATTGTATTAACACTATTAAAGATTAGGTCTTAAGTATTGATGTTACACAAATATTTCCATTGCATTAAAGAGACAAATTGAATATTATTTAATAAATGTGAGGGTAATGAGGGGGTCCCTGAACCCAAAAAGTTTGAGAACCCCTGCTGTAGCTCACATCCTCTTACCTCAGCTAAAACAACTGTTCATGAGTTAAATCACGTTTGACAGGAGTTCCTCACATAGTTCATTGTTTTAATGGCTTTTATTGGTCTTGTTCCATTTTATTTTTAGGATCAACCAGATGCTCTGATATTTTACCAGCCACTCAAACTGTACAAGTTGAGGCGATCAAGTCTTTGCAAAGGAAACGTTTGCCTTTTTCACAAAAACTTCTAACTTTAGAAAATACTAATAAAGTCCTGCTTGTTGCGTATTGTTTTAAAGTTTTACTGTATTCCATTTCTCTTACCCCTGGTCTAATACACATTTGTTGCTCTTTGTATCGAGTTATTTTTGCAGAGCGGCTCTTTGCAGCTTTTTATTCCTTTAAATAAAATTGACAAAAATATCTCCAATACCTAAAATCCAACCTAGTGCTTGACTAAAATAAATTTTACATAAACAGATTTTTATAATTTCCAAACTTTTCCCTAACAATACTTTAAAAACAAAATTATTTAACGTGGAAAAAAACCACAAAAACATTTGTGAATGTATAAAATATTGTCTTAAGCTGTAAGAACTATTATTCTGGCCTACTATTAAATGATTTTACAGTCAGGAAGAAAAAGACAAATTTGTGTTCCCGTGTTTTTATCTTTTTTTATTCCAAAGCAGAAGCAGTCAAAAGTACGGCAGGTGGAGCTGAAGAGACTCAAAGACGAGTACACACACACACACACACACACACACACACACACACACACACACACACACACACACACACACATCTACGCTTCTACTAAAAAATTGAAAAAAGGCCCAAACAAAAAAAAAAAAAAAAAGGTCACAAAAATTCAACTAACATTTTCACTGAGTGTTTTTGGTGTGACGTAGATAACATGGATGTGATTTTACAAAGTGGACCAAATCAAAGTAGTTTCCTATGACACCAAGTGAGCTGGGAAGTTCTTAACACTGAGAAGGATGACGAATCAAAGCAAAACAAAAACTTCTCCTCTGAGTGACGACAGCTTGCTGGTGTATGTCAGACTCTGCACCATAACCAAGTCCTCTGTATTTCCTTTCAGCGCAGGAAGAAGGCAGAACTGCATTGGGCCTGAAGAAATGAGGCAGAAACTCCTGAAAGTTGGGCTGCTGCAACCTCCAGAACCTCCAGCTGTCCGAGCTGCACTAATGGATGCTGCTGCTTACAAAACACACACACACGTGCACACACACACATACAAACACCCATATTGTGGCTTGACATCTCCCCAAAACCATTTAAATCAAAAGAAACAGGAACTAAATGAGTTTTTAAGTATTTCAGGCTAACAAACATCTGCATAGCATTAACCTGAAAAATATTCTAATTTATATATTCTGAAAGGTAACATTGGTAAAAGCATGAACCAAAAAAAAAAAAATAAAGGGTTTAAAAGCCATTTGTTGTCAAGGCCTATGCTAAAATGTTCATAAAATCCATGAAAAAATACAGTATTGTCTGTCTCCTACTCTCCAATGAGCTACATGCAGAGAAAGAAGAAACGGCTTCTTTCTCTGCCTGAAAACTATCCAACTGGAAACAAAAAACAAGGATGGGTTTGGGTAGGAGGAGGAGTGCATAGGCCTCGGTTCAACATTCTTAAACACGAAGTGGACCTAAAGACACTCCCTGTTCAAATCCCAGAAACTAGAGTACTTCCAGCTACAGTCAGGGACAAAGTCTTTACATTCCACTTGTCAGTTCAAAATACATCTGCTTGCTTTACATGAACAAAAAGAGGTGCTAATTTTTGGGATTTAGCCGTGTGATAACATTCACAGGTTGGGGGGCTGAAGCTAGAGGAGGGCAGTGGGCTAAAAGATAACTACTGCTAATGCTAAGGCTTCATGTTTTGTTCCAACATTCAAGCCCCTCCGAGTACACACCCTGATATCTTCTGGATTTCATAATCTCAAAACTGGTGTAAAAAAACACTAAATGGACTCATCGCTCCGCCGGGGCAAAACGATGAACTTGTTAAAATGGTACAGTAACAAAAAAAAACAAACACTAATATGAAACAATAGACTTTGCCAAGGAAAAAATAAAAAACACTGAAAGAAACCCATGCAACGCGACACGTGTCGACAAATTATTGCTTCCTTTTCACAACTTGTGTTGTATGTGCATGCAAGCGTGCATCTTTCAGTGAGCAGCAGAATTCGGGTCTTGCATGGGATTATTGGCTTTCTTTCTCCTTTTTGTTAGCAGTGGATTGGTCGAGTCTTCGATGGTCTTGATTTTAATTTGCTCGTAGTCGACTCTCATTGTTGCCAAGGCACTGGTCATTTCCTCCTGCGAAACAAGAAAAAGCAAGCCGTTAGGCAGCTTGGTTTACTCACTCTTCACTTTGAGCATTCCTGTTTTGTCTTTAGTGTATTTGCTGATAACCAAACGAGCCAAATTAATTTTTGTAAAACTGAATGAACACCTATACACAGCAGCCTTATTGAAGCAAGGCTGACGTTGCAACTACAGTGATCCCTCACGTATCGCAGTGAAGTTTCAGAGGCGCCTGCGGTAGGTGAAAATCTGCAAAGTAGCAGCGTTATATTGATTTTATTATTTATATAGGCTTTAAAAACCTTTCCCACTCTTATAAACACTTTATATGCTCTTAAACACTTTGTTGATGGTGATGAAGACGATGAGATGAAGTTACAGTACTGCACAGAAAGTACAGTACACACAATATCAAATACCGGGTTTAAAAAACCTGCTGTGATACAATAAAGCTGCAAGAAGCAAAATAGTGAGGGATGACTGAATTAATGCAAATTCAACCAATACCCACAAACGTTGCTCAGTTACAACAGTGACCAAACCCCTTAGAGCCCTGCCCTGGTTCATGTCCAGAATCTGAGTCTGGCTCAGAGAGCAAAATGAAAACTTGTCCAAACGACCAAATCTAATATTCTCTCTAAATTCATGTCAAGTGAGTGTCCGAACACGTTACATGTTTTACTGTCGTGGATCAGAGGCAAAAATTGTTGCTTGACAAACTTTTCTTCACAAAACACAGTGGTGCCTGAATGTTTGTGAATTAGTTAGACAATTCTATATTTCTGCATAAATCGGACCTAAAACATCACCAGATTTCACACAAGTCCTAAACGTAGATAACGAGAACCCAGTTAAACAAATGAGATTGAGGTCGCAGAGAACCCAGGGTAACTTCTAACAACTGAAGGTCTCTCTCACATTAATGTTGATGTTCATGAGTCCACCATCAGGAGAACACTGAACAACAATGGTGTCATGGCAGGGTTAAAGGAGGAAGTTACTGTTCTGCAAAAAGAACATGGCTGCTCGACTGCAGTTTGCTAAAGATCACGTGGACAAGTTGTTGGAAGAATGTTTTGTGGACAGATGAGACCAAAATAGAAGTTTTTGGTTTAAATGATAAGAGTTATGTTTGGAGAAAGGAAAACTCTGCATTCCTGCATAAGAAACTTATCCCACCTGTGAAACATGGTGGTGGTAGTATCATGGTTTGGGCCTGTTTTGCTTCATCTGGGCCAGGACGGCTTACCATCATTGATGGAACAATGAATTCTGAATTATATCAGAGAATTCTGAAGGAAAATGTCAGAACATCTGTCCATGAACTGAATCTCAGGAGAAGGTGGGTCATGCAGCGAGACAATGACCCTCAGCACACAAGTGGTTCTACTAAAGAATGGGTCAAGAAGAATAAATCCAGATGTTGTGGAAGGACCTGAAGCTGCAGTTAATGTGAGGAAACCATCAACATCCAGAGTTTGAGCTGTTCTGTACAGAGGAATGGACTAAAATTCCTCCAAGCTGGTGTGCAGGACTGATCAACAGTTACCAGAAATGTGTGTGTGTGTGTGGGGGGGGGGGGGGGGGGGACGACACACAACATTCAATAGAGCAAACAAAATTCTAACCTTGACTTCCTCCCACGCATCTCTCTCCTCTTTTAAAACTCGGCTGGTATGGAGTGGGGTCTGAGGAACCTCCATTGATTGCTTTGAGGTGACACAAAAAGAAAAAAATCACATCCCAGTTTTACTTTATGGTCAGAAGAAATAAAATAAAATCAGAAATCTTTAGATTCTGCTCTCACATTGATCCAGGGATGATTCATGAACTCCGTGATGGTCATCCTTTGGGTCGGCTCAGTCTTTAAGAGCGTCCTGATCAGCTGTTTAGCTGCAGAAAAACAATACAAGTGGTTTTTAATTTTTGGAGTTTCAAAACATTTTTCCATCTCTTTCGTGTTTCAGATCAAATATAAGAGTGCAGCAATAAAATTTTAAGCCTCCTAAATAATTACACACTACTGTCATTTCTTTATTGTTTAGTTTAATAACATTTTCCAAAGATATAAAAGTACCTAAGTATTTAAATAGTTACATAAACTAGAAGTGTGCTACATATTGAGGCGGCAGAGCTTTGCTTACAGCGCACTAAGCAAATTAGAACCCGTAGATCATTTAAATGTTCCACTCAAACGTCTCTCGTTTAGAGAGAAATTAGGGACGGTAACATCGCCATCATTTAGCTTCTGTTTTCTTTTTAAAACCAACATATTAGTCAGAAAATAAAACCTCAGTTTCAGCTGTAGTAAACCCCAGTGGTTTAAAAAAAAAAAAAAAAAGTTGAAACACTTATCAGTTTCCATTCCTTGAGAGTTGAAATCAGTTTGGGTGTTTAGGTGAGATGTTTCATAAAGAGTACGAGGTAATGAATTCATCTAACTTATTAAATACTGCTTGTGAAAATAAATAAATAAAAGTGGATAGTTCACATAAAGAAAGAAAAGTACCCCATTATTTTTTTTACTACATTTTAGAATGAAGCAAAACACATTAGTTTAACACATTTTAATCTAACACCTTAGTTCCCACTTAAAACTAATCCCATTATATTATTTAAAGATTATTTTATTCAGACACTTCAGGCTGAAGTCTTTGAGCCCGTCTGAACCGTGTTATTTGTTCACGATCGATCTGTATCCACCTTCATCAAACGTCACTTGTTTTTATTTGCTTAAACAAACATCCCTCTGAGGCTAACTTGATTCTATTTCTTCAGTAAAGATAATCAAACACCCTCTGTTTGGTAATTTGAGAGGTTAATGTGCTTTTATGCACACAAAATATGGCAAAAGTTAAGTCTCCATCTCCTTTTGACATCTGTGCTTCAAATAGGTTTATCCTGTATATATCTACTGAATATTTTTTTTAAGTTTTCACTAACATAAACCATCAAACCTAAGACGATATATAATTAGGTGCGAGACTTTTTAGAAATAATGTGAATTTATTTAGGCATAAAATTGCTTTAAGGCAAGTTCAGATTTATAGTTTTACCTTCTTCTGATACATCAGACCATTCAGGGTTGGGGAACTCATACTGGCCCATCCTGATCCTCTTCTTCATCCCTGGAGAGATGGCTAGGCCGTGGTTAGAATAAAATGGAGGGTACCCACACAACCTGTTGGGAGATTTATGATACTATTATTATGGTGCCAAACACAAAATCGTACATGTTGAAAAGATCTGAAGGTTTATACAAAGCTCGACTTACAGGATATACATAATGACACCCAACGACCACATGTCACACGACTTGTCATATTTCTCTGGGCCAAGAACCTCTGGAGCTGTCAACAAAATGAAGAACGTAAAGAAAATTATCAACTTGTCTTTTAAGAATTTGTCAGAAAACATCCTTAATAAAAAAGGAAAAACGGGAGTTGGATAACTGAAGATGTGGCCTAGGAAAAACATGAGCATGTGAAGGTATAAAGAGCAAATCTGTGGAAAGAATTCACCTGGAAAATTAGAACCAGGTTCTTTGGATTTCCACTACAAGTTTAAACGCTGTACAACGGCTCAGGCTCACCCGTGTTGGAGGAACTATGGTCTGAAAGCGGAACCACAGTCATGTTTTCTGGGACTGCTCAGTAATATTGCAATACAGTAGTCCCTCGCTACTTCACGGTTTGTTTATCGTGGATTCGCTCTATTGCGGTTTTTCAAAATGAGATTAGACACGATACACAATTGGCTGGTTGATGGATGAGCTGCACGATCGGCATGGAATTTTAATTTAAAATTAATTATTTTAAATTATTTAGCACCTGCTGCACATTTGTGCAATCCATACAGCTGCAGGATAAACTTGCTGCTGCAGCTGATCAGCTGTTCACTGTGTATAGAGGAGAAGTGGGCGTGGCCAAGAGCGCTTGCAGGTGGCAAAGAGCAGAGGAGGCAGGGAGTTGAAATCATGACACTCTGTGCTCTTTTAGAGCGTTTAGAAACATTGCTTAGAATATTGCAAGAGTGTGGGAAGGGTTTAAAACGCCATACGGTATTCACTTATCACGGGTCTTCAGGGTACGGATCCCTCGCGATAAACGAGGGACTATTGCATTGGTGAAATAATGGAAAAGTATTTTGTCAAGAAATGCTAAATCATGTTTAATATTGAGACCTAATCCAAGTTAAAAATTGTAAAGTATATTTTAAACTAACTGCTGAAAACATGACTGAACACAAAGAAGCAGGTCCTTACCAACATAGTAGGGTGTATAGCAGGGAGTGTCTAACGAGTTGTGCGAGGTGGTTTCCTTGGCAAAGCCGAAGTCTGTGAGTTTGAGAAGAGCGCTGGGCCTCTTCGAAGAATACAGTAAATTCTCTGGCTGCAGGAAGGATTCAGAAACCCGGCAAAACGTCATTAGCTGCAGATGTACTGGAAGTCTTCAGATAAAACCTCTTGGATACATGAACACATTAATCAGTGTGTATAAAGCTGTTGCACATACCTTAACGTCTCTGTGTGCAATGTTAATGGCATGCAGGAACTGAATGGCCTCTCCGATACTCTTCATAATATCAGATGCCTCTGCAAAGAGGAGGAAAACAACTCAATTCAAACAAATGACAAGCGTTAACGAATGCTAACCCTGCCTTTGACACTGTAGCAGCAAATGTAAATGTAATGGATTGTTGTCATGGCTCTACAGTATGCTTTAATATTCAGAAGGTTGACATGCGAGTTGCTTTAAGTTATTATGAGTTTGTTACCTTTCTCTGTGAAGGCTTGGTCTCCTCTGTCCTGGATTCGACTAAAAAGCTCACCGCCGTCCATACTGTACAGACAAAAAGGGTTTAAAGAGTTTCAGCATCACAACACAAAAATTAATAAGTAGTGTTGCAACAATGTCAAAACAGAAATTAAAAACTTTAACAAAATCTGAAATTTATTATCAAATAGCTGCTTTAAATCCTACAAGATGAGACAAACGATGCCGAACAAAACATTTTAATGTTACTTTCAGTAAAATCAAACAAAAAGAAGAACGTGCATCACTGATGTTCTGCCGATGTGACGTGGTGGGCAAAGTTCAGATATTTGTCATTTTTTGATGCTAGAAATTTGCTTGAACCATAAAGGGTTGCAGCGTATGAGTGGCTTTACGTGTTAATTTTCCTTTCAGTTTTGAGAAGCTACAACGTGCACTGGCTCACAAGCACACAAATGAAACCATTTTTATGATTACAAAATCAAACCCCACAACACATCAGCTTTGTTAAAATTAGCCTACTCCGTTTTTTTTTTAAGATTATAATACAGATATTTCTTTTCATCTTCCACAGGAACGGCCTGTGGTTTGTTGGCAGACCAACAAATAGGTTTAGGTTTCTACTATTTACAAACTACCATGGTAGTGTCAGACGAGATCAAATGGCTGTAGTGTACCTCAAAACACTACGACAAGCCACTAAATAGCTGGACTAAATTAGTACGCTTTACTATAAATCACAAGCTTTTTAAAGATTTAACGAGTAAAGCTGTGAGAGTGTAACGAGCTACATTTTTACACCACAGGATACACAACTGATTTTTAATTGGTTTATAAATATTAGTGTCGCATGCACTGCATGTACTGTCGTCATCGCAGTCATGCTTATTCCAGTCAGTCCCGTCGAGACGAAAAAAGCTGCAGAAAGCGAACAGCTTCGCTGGAGACAGACTGTAGAGCGTGTCACGTACTTGTTTCCAATAATGTTATCTGAAAGTAACACCTTATTGTTTTGTAACAGCAGCAAGTGCTTCCTCATTTTACAGTATGAAGCCTGAGCTCTGCGCAGAAGAGATGTTTGCAGGTTTTTAAAGGAAGAGCGTAACTTCATGGCTTCAGTCTTAGAAAAGTATGACAATAACTTGTGTACAAAAATAACAATTATGAAAAATCATGGTAATTTGTGTACTACGGACATGTAATATACAAGTAGAAGTTCATACTGGATGTTTCTGTGGTATTTGTATTTAAGAATAATTTACTTTGACTAGAAGAGTAAGGACAACTTTTTCTGTTAATGTGTAAAACCAAAAGCAAAAACAATTTTTAAAGTTATATGACCAGATTGTGTCTCTCTTAAATGACATCATACAAGGTTAATGAGTTAAAAACTGCTTTAATGGTTGATAATGAAATTTCATTGATAGGCTGATTTGGGAAAACAACAATGAAATGTACAAATATTGAGCTGACGTTTGATGGAATAGTAGCCGAAAGACGTCCTAAACACGTACTCTGAGCACTAACGGATCTCATGAGACCTCACATGGTTGCAGGAGACTGTACAAATAATTTGTTTGATAAAAACAGCCCTTACTCCACCCCTTCTTTTTCTGAAACGATCTTAAGTTTTAAACTGACATTACAAGGACGGTAATATTCAAGAAACGCAAGTTTTTTTTTTATATCCATAAATGTGTTTGTACTGAAGTGTCAATCATATTTCTTCAAAACCAAACGTAAATTTGAAATTATTTCTAACATTTCTCAGCTTAAAAGGGCAAAATTTACTTTACTAAGCAGACAATTAAAATAGGAAGAATTATGTTGAATTGTGAAAGCTTCCAATAAACTTTGATACTTTTGTTGTTAGTCATTTACTATCCAACTTTGTAAAACAAAGTTTAAAGCAGATTTTACCTCTGAAATCAGCTCATCTATTCACTAAATTAATCGCACAACTCAAGGTCAATACTACAGGAATTACAAGAGGGCTCACATTCTAAAGCTGGATTTACAGAAAATGTAACCGGTCTCAAACACCGACCAAAGTAGAGCTAATGATGGGTCACATGGCTTCAATGGAGTACGAGAAACCTGCACACTGAGTTTCACTTTACCGTTTTACTCAGCGTGACTAAGAGTTTCAGATCAAATCATCAATACCGATTTTTAATCTGCGTCTTCAAAGTATAAGAGCAACGAGCGAGTCTTCAGTTGTACATCTGGTTACAGGAGAGCAGAACTCGGATCCAGGAGACGGCTCTGCTAAACCACAGAACACGCCAAGCTTCTCAACACTGTGCTTACTCAGAAACGGACACTTGAAGCAGAGAGGCTATCCCTCGTGTATGCACAGCACACATCTCACTTTGCTTTCGGTTTCCTCTAATGTGGTCAGAAGTAAGAGATATTCTCGAGGTCTCTCAACCCAGCCCTTTTCCTCTTTGTTTCTGAAAAATGCAGAGAATTGTGTGAATTCTTTGACAGACGAGATGATGATTTTTAAGAAGTGGTGTCCTGGTGCACATCTTGCAGTGAAACGGCAGAAAATTTGAACACCCTTACAAATCCCCCCACACGTCTCCACATCAGGAGTGATAACTGTTCGATGAATATATAAAGTTTTTAATCAAGTAAACGGTTTTAATTTTAGTTTTATAATTAAGTGCAAGCAGCTGCAAGTCTTGGCAGTCTGGACCTCAGAGTTCAGACCAAAGAGTTAACTTACACAATATAAAGATGATTTATGAAAGTCATGTGACCATCAGGGTGAATTCTTAATTAGAGTAATAATTTGACATACAGGCGGTGTGACCTTTTACACAACATTGGACAAAATGTAGGTCAGGCTAATTTAATGACTCACAGCAGGTACAAGAAAACATTGCAGTCTTGCCATTTTTACAAGTGTGATATTCTAGGAAATGCTTTGATTTCAAAAGAAGAACATAAAAGAGACATTTTATACTGAGCTTGATCTGTCAAGGAAATTAGTCATCACTTCAGCATGTGAGCATTTCACATCACACGTCTCCTGCCTGTGCAGAGCAATGACAACCACAGATCTAATCAATGCACGTGTGACATGTGAATGTGGGGGGTGTTATACCATACAACAAGATGGAAATAGAAAGACGAGGAAATTACACCAAGTTCTTTTAGAGGAAATGGGGCATTATGTTTCACTAGGATCACGCAGAGTGTATTTACAATGTTTATCTTTGTTAAAGTGAGTTAACCTCCTTCACAAACAAAAACTGTCCTGAATGTGTTCCCAACACTAAAAATTTTAAACTGAAACGAAAGATTAAATCACACAATTAAAAAAAAAAAGTTTACATAATGAGAAAAAAATTGTACTAATAACTAAAATTATGTTTTTAAAACAAAAGGATCTATTTAAAACTATAGACTAATGGGTGCAATTGAGTAGTATAACAAGTACACCGATAAGATATAAAGCAATGTTATTAAAAACAGATTATACATTTTATAAAGTTCCATTCTGCTTAAATAATTTAAAAATAAAGCTGAATTTATTATTTTTCCCCATACTGTCCAGAATGCATTTTGTCACTTGCCCAATGACCCCTGGAGATAGACACTAGCTTCCCCACAACCGAAAAGTAATTGAAATTACCCTTTTGTTCTTTAAATGCCTGGACGGATGGTCCAAATCTGCGTATCTTCGTGTGTAAAGAATACTCCTGTTAATTATATCATAAACGTGGAGGCGGCTTCCGAGGTGGGTCCAAAAAAAGTTGAAGCAGCTATGATGAGTATAGGTGGCAACAAATGATGTACCTGGTGTTTTCCATACTGTAAACACAAAAAGCGACTAAGTCTGCAACAGAGCCTTCTTCTACTCCGCTCCTGTTTCCTGGAATATCTAAAGATCTGAAGCTCTCGACCTTGACCTCTAAGTGACATTAAACATCTGTTAAGTTCCTGGGAAAAGCCAATGTAGACACGTTCCTGTTTTAAGTTTTCTACACTGTCTTATGTAGATGAGCATATGCATGAGATATATTCATACATTAAACGGATTCTTTCATTTTTCTGGACCGTATATAATGTGCATTGAATTTAGAAATGTAACGTGAGACGTTAATTATCTTTGACTCACCAAACGACAGTGGGTCATTTATTAACAGAATCAAAGTTTAACACATCACACATTTACATTAATTGGCAAAATATGGAAAATAACAACATGGCTAATTTTAGCAAACTGTACAATTTTGACTGACCACACGGCGGTGGATGAGAACTTTACACAGACATTTCTAAAATATCTGGAATGATTTCTACCTGATAGAAGAATTTTAAAGATGGAAAGATGAAGTTTAGAGGGAGAAAAGATGGGTGAGGGGGTTTGTTTGTGTCAGCATTCAGAACGGCACTCTCCGGGTTTTTCTCAGCTTCTTCCCCCAGTACACTTAGGTGGTATAAATCGACTCTTTTACCTGGAGATGTCTCCACTGGTACGAAAGCCCATTCAACGCACCCTTTCAGCGTCTCCGTAGGAACAGCTGTGAATCGTCCGAAGTAGTGACGGTATTCCGTCCGACACAGGTTCACCTCACGAGTGGACTTCACATGAGTGGAGTCCGTCAGAGTTCCACCCAGAGGTGGAAGATGTTAGAATCCCATAAGACTCGGAAGAGCTCTGTAGTCATGTCAGGATTTTCCTGTTTCCCAGCACGAGTTGCAACGACTGAAACTCGACTCTCGACCCGACTGGAAACTCCACACGACCCTCGACACTGGTTTGAACTAGAAAGTACCGACATTTTAAAGAGCTCTATTTCCGGTTCATTTGGGAGTTTCTGATTGGTCAATATCGACCAGACAGGGGTGTGTTTTGTGACGTAAGAGGTCACTAGGAGTCAGAAAAACAGCAAGAATGTTATGGAACAGATTGAAAATGTTTTTCAGACAGACGAGAGAAATGTTTGGACGAGTTGGCGGAAAACAGGTGCCAACAGGTGCCAGCTTCTCTATTTACGTCTGAGAGGATGTAAAAACAAGACAGTTCGTTCCAACACTTGTCTGCGTTTGAGTCCAACCTTGGACCAACTTACCCTGCTCATTCAAAGACAGAAAATCAGAAAATGCATAATTACTCTGTAACAGACCTTAACATGAATTCTAACTTTGCATGAGGATTAAAAATCATTATTACTGTTTCACAGTTAATAAAAAATGATTAGTTCACTACAACATCTAAAATGGTTTGAACTAAAACATTTTGATTTTCAAACATTTGTAAAATAGTAATGATAATAGAAAAGAGAGTGTTCTTTCACTTGAATTTTCAAGAAAGAAAGTCTCAGGATGGGTCAACCTGTATTTCTGGATTCAAATCAATGAAATGACAGTTTCTGTCCCATATGGTCCTAAGGTCAAGGTTTTTTGACATCAGGCCTAGTTCACTACACTTACAACCTAGCTGTTTTTTTGCTGCTTTTCCTTTTAATTATCCTTTTAATTACCATTTTATTTTCACTTGTTAAAAAAGAAAAATAATAAATTTGTATACATTCTTTATGATTGTCTATTGTTGTCATCACTCTTTGTTAAAAATCAGGTCTCTCTTGTAAATGAGTCTAGGAGGCTCAGTGGGAATAACCTGTAGAAATAAAGGTTGAATGAATGAAAAACAGATAATTTGCTCATTTCCTCACAATTTTGAGTTGACAACTAGCCTGCAGCAGTCACAACCCAGTGAGATACTGCCTTACGTTGCACCCTTTGAGTCACAACAGGACATGATCACCGGGATATCAGAAACAAACAAAGCCATTCCCACACTATACAGCAGGACTAAAGGCGGCTGTGGAAACGCTGAAAAAAATGCTAAAGGCTCGCACATACTCGGGCGTACGTCAGCCCGCGCCTACCGCATTAGACTCGAAGCGGATGCCCGTACAAAGAACAATTTTTACGACCACGTGCATAGGGCTGGAACATATATTGTTCACGATAATACCAGTAAAAAAAAGCTTGTCCGGGAAAATAAATGATATCAGAATATGCTAATTTCATGAGGTAATATGTCAAGCGCTCCGCCCCGTTAACAGAAAAGGGACGCGCTGAATGATCAAACCAAATATCACAATATTATATTTGAGCCATATCGCCCACCCCTACATGTACTCTGTGTTGCACAATAAACTGCCCAGCGTTGGACTGTTTTGTATACGACACCAATGCATTAAACTCCCCTTCTTCGTCCCTGGTTTGGTTTAATGGCCTTTTCTTTCGTTTATTTGCCAAGAGGCAGTGATCTCTTCCTCCTCCTCCGTTGACGCCATGACTGAAAGGGTGAGAAATTAGGGAATTTGTCACAAGCGAATAAAAATCAGGTCCAGCGTGGCTGCGGGAGGGTCTGGAGATTTCCTGGTGGGCTGGACTGATGTGTGGGCTGCAGGGTCAGCGCTCCCAGTTTATTTTTTAGAACGTTTTATTAACAACATATAAACAAGAACACCGCCGCTTGCTGCCAGCTCTCGTTTTTAATTTTTCCCACGACCTGTCAATCAATCCAGTTGGCGTGTGAGCAAATGACCAATCGGCGACCTCAATTTGTCCCAAAGGTAAACGTCCTTGCCTGCGGAACTGGGCTGCAGCCCATCAGGGTGTGCGCTCGAGTATGAAGTCTCAACCATCTGCGGACAGTGCGAAGTGTCCGCGAGGCTCACAGTACGCCCGAGAATGTGCGAGCCTTAAGATAAGATAGGTCTAAAATGAGACGTGCATTGTTGCTTCAAAGTCTTATCAGAGGAACTTTAGCTCCTACCATGTTGATTTCCCGAAATCTTCTTTGAAAGAGAATTGTTTCATGCTGAATTGTAGAGCAACTTATTTTTTCTTTTAGACCAGAGAGCAGCTTTACTCGGGATTTTGTTCATTGTAAAAACAAACTCATCAAGATGCACCAATAATCGTGTTATAGTCACACCGCAGCCCTCTGAACCATAATTAAGTAAAACTTTTGATTTGATAGATGCAGCAACACGGTGGCACAGTTGGTTGAGCTGCCGCCTCTCAGTGAGAAGGTCGCCAGACCGAATCCTGGCTAGGGGACCTGTCTGGGTGGAGTTTGCACATTCTCTCCGTGCATGCGTGGGATTTCTCCGGGTACTCCGGTTTCCTCCCACTGACCACAAACATGCATGTTAGGCTGATTGGTAACTCTAAATTGTCCCTAGGTGTGAGTGAATAGTTGTTTGTCTCATTTGTCTCCAAGTGTCCCTGCAATCTGTCCAGTGTCCCACACCTCTCAAACAGTGACTGCTAGATATGAGCACCAGTGACCCCTGCAACCCGAAAAGGAAAAAGTGGGTAAAAGATGATGGATAGATTTGATAGATACCTAAAAATTCCCAACCTTTGGCTAGAAATACTTGTTTTCATTTGTACTTTAATTTGCACAAATACCTCTGTGCAGTACCTTGAAGTACTTTATTTTTTTAGATTTTTTTTTAATGGAAAAAATAGTAACCTGGTACTATTTAGAGAGTGAAAACGCAATTTCTAAAAGAAAATTTATTAAAAAAAAGTGGCAAAACAACAAACAATTACGTTTTTTTAAAGCATTCAGTGCCTCTGTAAATTTAAACTTTTTTTCCACACAACAAGCTGAAATATTTGAATCTTCAAATCATTAATGACAAATATGGAAAACAATATATATATATTGAGTGTCCATGTTTGAAAATTGTGTACTCACCACTCCATGACAATCAGCAGACACTTCCTGCCCTGATAAAGGTTTTCATAAACGTCAACAATGCGCACGATGTTGGCACAAGGTGAAGCCCTCCAGTGAAGCTCCACTTCCCTGCGGGCCTTGGGACAGTCTTGTAACATCTGGACAAAAGGGTGGAGACAAAAAGGTGGAGGCTGAATAACATCTCATACAAAATGGAATGATATCCTAAGTTTCAGTTTTCAAAAATAAATTAAAGTGTGTCAGTTTTAATAGCACTGTGACAAAATGATAACTCAGTGTCATGTATCTAAACAAGTGGGGGAAAACACAGATCAATGTAAAGCCTATATTAAATTACAAACAGCCAAATGAACAGTAGAAGTGAAGTGCTGCCATCAGATGGCAGAACGCTGAAAGGTTCAGGTGCTTTTACATTTCTGACTTGTGTGGAAGTAGCTCCCTCTATCAGCAGAACATAGTCAATACAGCATTTAACAACATTGGTTGCAACACCGACATGCCTGGGGTGGAGTTAAACCAGATAGTTTTGTAGGAAAATGTTTGCATAAATTCTAAAATAAAATGTTGATTTTAGTTATCTAGCTAAAAGCAAAGATTAAACTTAATAGTTTTGCTTTGCTTTCAGTTAAGACTGGGCTTAAGCCTTTCCTTTTTGATAAACCCTTTAATTAGGGTTGGCTTGTTTTACAACTTTAAGCTTACACTACAAGAGGACAAACTGACCTCATTTCCTTAAATGATTTGCTAAAACTGAATAGTTTTCATTTGATACTATTTCTATCTTAATGTGATTCTTGACCTGCCATTGTGTATCTGTTCCTACCAAACCCAGCCGGTCGAAGCAGATGACCACTTGTCCTGAGTCTGGTTCTGCTAAAGGTTTCTTCCTCATGAGGGAGTTTTTCCTTTCCACTGTCGCCTTCATGCTCAAGATGAGAGTTCTGTGATGGAGTTAAACTCAAAGCAGTCTGCTCCTCAGATAAATAATGTTAACTTGTTATTTTTATATATGAATGTTTCTGTTCAGTGCCCTGAGACGACTTCTGTTGTGACTTGGCGCTGTATAAATAAATTGAATTGAAGTGAAATTTTTTAAACGCAATCTCAAAACACTACCGGTAAATATTCTACAGCCAAGTCCAGATTTAATAAAGAAAAGTTTGTGATGACCTTTAAGTTTTTATTGACATACTTTATTAGTGACAACATTACTAAACTATAAAGTGAGAAGCAACAGGAGTGCTTTATTATGCTCATCAATAAGAGAAGGGGAAAACAAATCTTAAAAACAACCATGTGGTCTTGACAATGAGCCACTGTCTGTCCATGTTCTTGTGTTTAACATTCCAGTCCTACCCACTGCCACAAAACATGAAGCAAAGTTACCAGTCTGCTCTCTGGTCTAAGATGCGAGGGAGACATGATCATAAGCAACTTCATTAAAGGGAAAGAACACAATACACATACACATAGAAAGCATGCACCATTTGTCATAACTTATCTCCCAACCTTCTTCTTGACATGTTTTTGATTGAGAAGACTGATGGGAGAGAGAAAAAAACAAACAGAAGTTGAATGTTTGCCCATCTGCAGCGTTCAGGTTTGTGCAGATACATCGAAAGGACATTTTCAAATAATTCAAATCTATCATTCCAAAGTGAGAAACATTTTTTGAACAGTGGAAAACATTCAGGGTAGTCACAAATCCTCCTAGAGGTGAAGGTTCCAGCAAGTTCACCTGAAGGTCAGACTGCCTCATACTGAGAAATTGTAGGGGGTGGAGGGAGTTGCACAAATTATAACTAAGACTTTATAGAACTCAGTGTATGCTTCTTCAATGTTTAGGTTTATAGCTGTACAATTAACATAGGACTTAAGAATTCAGGCTTGTTTGAAAAAGATTACCAGGAAGAAGCCACGTTTCTCTAAAAGCAACTTTGGAGTTCATCTTAAGGCCGCAAAGTTGCTAATAAACCAAAACATCTTTGAGACTAAAAATGGAGACGTTTGGCTAGATTGCACAGTGACGCAATGAATCCACACCGACACATAAAACAGTTAACATAAAACAAACTCAAGCATGGTGGCAGTGGACTCATGATGTGGGCTTGTTCTGCAACTAGAGGACCAGGACAACTGGCAGCCATGGAGTTGACCATGAGCTCCTCCAAATCTTGAGATTCAAATCAAATGTAGTTTTGTGTCTGACATCAAAAGCTTAGGAAAAACGGTGATAACTAAAAGCAGTATGACCTAAAGCACAGCAGCAACCCTACAACAAAATATCTAAAAGAAACAGAACAAATTTTTTTTTTTTTTTTTTTTTTTTTTTTTTTTTTTTTTTTT